TGAAGATAGCCTTAGATGAAAGTGGTTATGCATGTGGTGTGTAGGGTTCATTATTTTACTTTTCTCTTCTGCTGTCTTTCCCCTGCTGTTTTTATTAATTATTTTGTCGCTGTTCTCCATTCAGTAGGTTTGAAGGAATTCTAATTGTTGAGATTATGTTTCTTTAAAGGCTCACTTAGCCCACCTTTTGGATGAAGGAAAAAAGACAAGATTCTCTAAGAAGAGTAAAAAGTACACTTTAAATAGGCATTCAGAAATGTCTGCTGATGCCATGCCATTACCATGTAATCAGCAGAAATGTGTTGGTGAAACACCCATCAGTGACTTCACAAAAAAGCCACAGTCAGACAGGTAAAGAACAGAAGCATAAAACCCCAATGATATGTTCATAACTAGAGGGATGAAATTGACAGATTTTCAGTGGGAATTAGGAACTACTGAATTCTTGGTCATAGAACTAACGACTTGTAATAGACTGTCTCCTTGCCAAGTGTAAATTTAGTATAATGAACTGCTTGCTGCCCATTGAAGTGCAGGCTAACAGACCAATATTTGCAATAGAAGGCATATTGTATGGCTTTCCTTTTAAAAAGAAGTTGTCTTTGCTCATAGCAATCTAGATATATACCCAGTCTGAAACATATTTTTTAGGCTATATTTCCAAGTAAATGGCTTACATGATGATGCTGTAAGATAATGTGACAAACAAGAATGAAGATAATACAACCATTCTTTTTTATCCTAAGCCAGCTGCTGAATAATGATACAGGGATTCTCACTGACCCCAAGGAAAAACCCAGTGCCCAAGCTGTTGGGAAAAGCACTTGGGCAGATAAAGGCTATTTCCACGTTTCTTGCTGGTATTTCCTAAAGAGTTCACAGTTTTTTACCTGTTAGAACTGTTCTGTATGTCTCTGTAGTTTACACATTCTAAATCTAACATGTATTGCTTTAATGCCATCTTAATAGATTTTAAGCTGGGATCTACCATCCAGGCTTCAATTTGTCTCAGAAGAAGCAACATTGATTCTTTAAATTATATTCTTTAAAGTTGGGATGATATTTATGATCACTTTAATGTTACATTTTGCCAATTAAAGTGAATTATATTATTATGTTAGTCCCTCTTCTGGTGCATTAATAGTACAAATTGAAGCTTTATTCACTTTCTGTTTCAGACAACCTTTACCTTTTTCAGAAGCATTGGGAAATGTAGATGCAAGTTCAGCTGAGAAAGTCAGAGGCCTGCCTGATGTAGTTGGTAAAACTGGTTTCTCTTAATGTCATCTATTTTAAGTTGCATTCACAGGAGACATGGTACATGTAACAGTTTTAGCTGAACAAGGTATAAAATTGTGCTGGTTTGAAAGAAAATCAGCAGGAGAAATTAACCCCACACAAATACCTTGTGAGAGATTTTGGAGTTACAATTGAATAGAAAGATTACAGTAAATGCAATGATACAGAAAAACATTTAAAACCACAAAGAGTACAGCCTGGCACCCTTGTGGTCAGGGTTGCAGTGGTTGCAGTCCTGCCAGAAGCAGTGGTCTTGTGAAAGTTTGGGTCCTCCTCTGGATGTCCAGTGGTGGTGGTGGTGTCCCAAGTGCCCAAGTGCCCAGATTATATCCATGGGGTTCAGGTGGTACATCCCCCAGGGCAGGGAGGTTCACAATGGAATGATGGAATCCCTTGAATCTAGAATATTTTTGGAGTCCTTGATCAGCTGCCCATTCTGCTAGTACATATTCAGTTCATTATGGCCCATTGGCAGACATGACCCTCACTGGATGGGTGGTGCTGCTGCTTCCCCAGCTGAAGGAAGGATAAAGAAACACTATCTCACCCTGCAGTTTTCTGCCTCTTCTCATTTTAACATCCAGCTTGTATCCTGGGGGGTCAGGTATGCACTGAAAATGATCTATCATTAACAGCTCATCACAAAATGAGGTAGAGGGGAGTAGAATACAGTTTGGTTACAGCCACATTGGCACTTTTTTCTCCTGCAAGGCAACAAAAATCAGGCTCAGAAATGGCCTGACAAATTTTGATGATTTGAAGCTTAAGAGGCCTCATCTTCAAATTTTTGTTTCAAAGTTTTGATGATTTGATGATTTTGAAGATGAAGAGTCTTCTAATAGGAAAAAAAAGCAGTTGTGAAATTGTCAATCACAGGTCATGTTTAGCATTATAAATTCCAGTTTTGATGTAATCAAATCTCATTCCTGAAATGTTGCAATTTTTTTACATCATAGCTGAGCTAATAGTTCCATGTTATTATCCTTCTGAAAAACAGAAGTTAATAAAGGAAATTTTAAAATACACTCTAGTATTTTGTATTTTTACCTCCATTTGCTAAGACTGCACTTCCCAAGGAAAGATGTTGCACACTGTGAGAACTGCACAGACTACAGCAGTTACAGTGTAGATTGAGGGATTTATTGTTCACGCATCCCATATTCTGCAGCAACAGTTCCAGGCTATAGAATCCTCATTTCTTTCTCTGCAGTTCCTGAGGAAGCAGGCAGTGGTACATGGAAGTACCTGGCAGAACGGCGGCAAAATCGTCACGATCGAGCAGTGACCGAAATGCAGCAGGAGCTGGACGGCATTGGCAGGGTAAAGCAGGATCTTTTAATGCAGAGTCTTGAGTGCTCTTCTAAGGTCAAGGCCCAATATTGAAATGATTACACTGACCTACCGTTTTAGGAGATGGAAGCCTCTGTTTTGAAGATTCAGGAATTCCTTCAGCTTAAAGTGATGAAATCAGATGAAAAGAGTAAACTTCTGTTTGAAAAGATTGCATCTGACATGGCTTTGGAAGGTTTCTCATTTGAAGTAAGGCAGCTCAGAGCATTGGCTCAACTTCAGTTACTTGTACCTGCTCTATGTAATGTCTTCTTATGGTTCACTGAAGTCCTAAATTATTGGGTTTTTTCCTTTTTTATTTTTTTCTTATATATATTCACTTTTCAATGAGATTGAGAGTAGATTTTTATTGCAGGGTTTGGAAGAACTGTGGAATATGATCCATGAAGAATCCTCAAACAGAAAAAAGTGGATTAGGGCAGTGGACGAATCCCTGAAGGAGATTGAAAGGAGTCGAGCTGTTAAAGTGAGCTGCAGTCTCAATAACTGTTGCTTAAGCATAAGATTGTTATTTGCTGATACCATGCTGGATGCAGAGCAGGAGTAGCTTGTTTCCACAGGAGTCAGAGGCCTGCCAGTAGTTCTGTTATGTGGTGATTGCTTTCTTTTCACTAATAAACTCATTTATTTTCACTCATTTTACACCCACATAATCAGGAAAAGCTACTTTTTTCCTAGTTTTATGGTGTTTCTTTCTTTCACGATTACGGATACTACAGGTGCAAGGAATATGTGAGCTGCTTTTATTTTCCTGGAGACTTGCGTAGGTCAAACTTTCATCTGGTCTGTTATTTTTTTGGGGAACATAGCTATTCTGCAGCTGAGAAGGAGCATAGACATGAGCTAGCTTGATTTTAGTTTGTGTTGGCTGGGTGTCAGTAGCAAATGTGTTGCAGTTTTGTAGTATCCAGCCTAACCTGTAAAAGTCATTGGACATCATAGGAAACGTTTGGATAAAAAAATTGATAGACTATGGAAGAGCTTGCTGCACTGTCCTTGTAGGCAAAGAAAAACTGTTGTATCAGTGCCTGTTCCTCCTCTCTTTGTAATTCAGGTATGGTGAGTAAGTCTAAGAGTATCACCAGTAACCTTTCTGTTGGATTAGTTGCAACAAATGTCAGAGATGAACACATTTGCTTTAATTCTGTGTTCACTTAAAACAGACGCCGGTGGATTCCCTTCAGATATTTGAAGTGAAGCTAGTTTGATTTTTAAATTCATATTGCAGCCTGTCTGCAGAACACTCAATTATCACAATTAAAGAGAAATCAGATGAGTAGTAGCAAAGTGGAATGTTTTCATTACTATTTTTATGAATTAATGAAAAAATCAGTCATTAAGATAGCTAAGAGTAATATTTTAAAATTTACTTCTCAGTCTGTGTCATCCAATAAAGTTAAATTAATTTTAATTTATTTAATTGATTAATTAATTAAATTAATTTTAATGGAAAAATTGTCTCATTCCTGTAGTTTTTTGACTTTGAAAATTGATATTTGATTAACACTTTTCGTTGTTGATTTTCTTTATTATTTTATTGCACAGATAGCAGATGTACTGACCAAGTATACCTTGAAACTGGAAGAAATTTCTTTCTTCTTGGCAGCTGATGTTCACAAGCTCATTAACAATAAGGCCATGGTAAATGTTTTACCTGGGGCAAGATATCAGTCTGAATATTCCTAGAATGTCTTTCTTTTCCCCAACTGAAATTCATTTTTTCTGCCTATCAATCACTGAAATATAGAAGAGATTTCTACTTGGCAGGGTATCCATTATCATTTGTGTCCTTTTTTTCCCCTCATTTTCTGTCGAAGATACAATTTTTTTGGTTTTTGCATGTTGTATAATGCTTCTACTCCTGGTTTTATTTTTTAATACACAGAATATAAACAGAGCACTGCTGGGTAATGAGAGGGCGACTGCCAAGCTGCTCTTTAATCTAATGAAATCAGAGCTTGAGAAAGACAAATTGCATCAACTGAAATGGCAAGAGAGAGTCAAGGTCTGGAAGCTCATCCAAAAGAACTGCATAGTTCAGAGTTTCAGGTCAGAAATTTTGCAGTCTTAGTTTGGACAACGAATAACGCAAAGTGACTAGTTTCTATAAAAGTAATACTTTATCATTTTTTCTTTATACATATCACATATGATATCACATATATCATGTTTCCATTATACATATCTTTTTTCCATCCTGCAGAGAATTTATGGCAAGTGAAGAAATACAGAATCCCCCAACTGTGAAAACAGAAATGGAAAATATGATAAAGGAGCAGATTGTACTTATTGAACAGAGACTGAGAGTTTTGCAGCACATTGGGTATGGCAGAAGAGGGTATAGCATAAAGGGAAACAATTCTTTCTGGAGTTAATGAGGGACTTGGCTACGCAATGCACTTTGCTTCCTGTCAGTGTGTGATTGTTAAATTCAGCAATAAGGCAGGGTCTACACCTATTTTTGTACAGCTCTTTTTAATGGAAAAAATGCACTCTTGATTTTCACTGCACCAGCTACACTAAATAGGTGGTGATCAAGGGCTAAAAATGCAGGAATGCAAAAGTAAATCTTACTGACATTTGAAATGGGGTAGGAATGGGTGGAGAACTAGAAGTTGGTATGTCAAGACATTTTTTCTCTGTGGGATTTTATTTGTGTAATAAATTAAGATAGGAGTCTGCATAGAAATCCAACACTGCTGTGTTTGAATATCCATCCTGAACACAAGAAGCATTTTTGGGTGTAATGTGTTGCAATATTTACAGGGAGTTTTTTTACAGTGCATGTAGGAACAATTACATTCCTACATGCAGGAATTACACTTAGTTCCTTGTCGGGCAGTAAATAGTTGGCCTCAAACAACAACAGTCTCTTTGGTTTATTTTCATTGCCAAAATGGCTTTAAATAAAATAATGCACAGTAGTATGGATACTCTGATTCATAATTTTATATTTTAAGTACTGACTGATTTGTATTTTAAGGTACCTGACTCTTGTTTCCTACTTTGATAGCACCTTGTTGCCTTCAAAACATACACAATCTGACATAAATGAATGGTACAGAACTCTGGAGAATTTAAACAGAAGTATCGGTAAGTTGAGAAATCATAAAAACAGTTTGGAATTCAAGCAGTCCTTTCTTTTTCCCCAGGCAACAATGAGGCAGACAGTTGCTCTGAAAGTGCATGTTTGCTCAATTCTTTATTCTGTATGTTCCCACTTACGTTCTCTGTTGCTTTGAGCTGGCTACTAGTAAGACCCAAAGAAGCTGCCTGTGACATCACTTTCCTTTGGCCAGTGCAAACACTTACTCATGGTGAGATCTAGCAGAAACTGGCTTGTTAGAATTAATCTGGGGGAAATAGAAGGTTAATTTTGACATGGATCAGTTCTCAATCCTAAAAAAATCCTCATTTTTAACTCTCAGAGAAGAAGAGGGGAAATATTTCAGATAATTCCTTTCTCCAAGTCCTGTAGTATGCCTTCCCTCTGTGTCTGCTTTCTCTTGCTGCAGAGCACAGTGAGCTTTGTAGGCTGTATGGTAGCATGGAGGTTGGTAACAATTGTAAATAACTTGCTACTTTTAAGCATAATTATAAACAGCTGTGTATTAAGGTGTCTTATTTGATTGGTTGGTGGTGTCACAGTGGTGTGCAGACACTGCTGGCATCTGTCCCTGTGCTGAGATTCAGCACAGGGCTGCTGTCATGTTTCCTTTTCACACTGCACTGTGAAGTACAGGCATGTTGACCGTGGTCTGTTCCATATCATTCAGATACACATAATGTGGAGTGCATGGAGAAAATGCGCATCCAGTATGAGCTGGTCCAGGACAAATGTCAGGAAAAAGTGCAGGTCTGCAAGGTGAGTGTCAGCTTTGGGTGTGGAAGTGATGGTACGATATGTCATTACAGTAAAATATGTTTGAGGATCTGCCAAACATTGAGATAACAAGTTTTTAACCTCTTACTCTGTTCAAAAGGTACTTGAAATGTGTAAAAGCTGTAACAAATGCCAGTAATGAAGGGGGTGCTGTCCTGCATTTACATGGAGGATGCAAGGACCCTCAGCCTTTGTGCTAAATCCATCTTATCTTGGCAAAGAAATTCCACCTCTCTGCCTCAGTTTCTCCCTTCATATCCAACTGAATTGTTTTGTTTACTAATGGAATGTGGGCTCTAGGAGGTTGAATCTTCCCTCTGTCCATTACAAGCAAATAAACACTAAGTTTAGCCATCTTCTCTGAAAGCCATGCAGTATTTCTTATATGCATGTGAATAATTTGCTATTCTTTTCACTTAGGTGACCCTGTTGGATATTTGCACAGTAGAAGATGTTGAAATTGTGCATTCCAACATGCTCCAGATGACTGAGAAACTAAAACATAGGTTTGAAGAACAACTGGAGCACATGAATGTGCGTCTATTACATTTATTTTTATCACTCCTTGGGATTAGTCCTTTCTTCCTGTGCTCCCACCTGCAATGCCTTCTGCATTGTAGGCTATTGATGTCACATTAGAAAGAGGTCCACAGTGTGACTAAGCACTACAAAGAAGCAAAGTTTGGTGTGGAAAAGCTTCCTGTGGAAGAATTCATAATTATTGTGTTTATTATTTGTAATATAAATATATTGTATTTTTATTATAATTTATATCTGAAATGCATATGATAGAGATGAATGACATATGGCCCACCCACTCTGCCTTATGACAGAGGAATATATTTAAATGATCTCCCAAATATCTTCCAATCTGATCTTTTGTGATTCTATATATAAAAATGACTGGGCAGTTGTTCCTGATGTGATAAATTGTAGAATGTGATTTGGTGCTTTATGATGCCAGAATAAACAGAAGTTTTGATACTCTCAGCTTGTACTACAAAAATCCACATTCTTACCCAGTTTACTTGGATTTTTCATTTTTTTTAACTCTCCAAATAGAAGACACCATGTTGAATACCAGTCATGTAATTCCAGGCAGCCTTTTATCACGTTACATATCCTCTTACTCATTCATTTCACCTTCCAGCAGTTTAAAAAGAACTTGTTTACTTGAATGTTTTTCTTTAGAGTGATTTTAAGGAGATGGCTAAATGGCATGAGCAGCATTGTGAAGGCTTGTACAACTATGTTCAGGATGCCATGGCTCTCTGGGATGTCCATCAGCTCCAACTGTCCCAGCTGGAAGATGTACTTCAGAAGAAAGTAGATGAATGCAGATGGGAACAGGATTACATAATTCAGGTATAAACATAAAAACAAGGGTGTGCTGTAAAGAAAGGACTTCTTAATGCAAAGAACCCTCTGGAATTCAAAATAGCTGCTATAAAATTAAAAACATAATATCTGACTTTTGTATTGGAATTTCTACTTTTCAGTTTCATTCAGTCAAGTGCATTTTTGCTAACTCCTTGATTCACACTGAATGGACAGTCCTGTCTTATTCTTGATAGGGCAACAGTGTTAAGGATCACTGCTGCTTTCTGTATAAAGTGGCTGCAAGTTGCTATTATGGGATGTTGTGCAGGTATAGAGTCTGGTTGGATGCAAAGTTCTCATAGTTACAACAGCCAGCTTGGGATAGCAATGTCAGAGGTGTTCATTATCTAGGCAGATCTTCATGGGTGATGAGTTTTGCTAAGGTAGCTTCCCTTATTGGTGTAGAATATATGTACATAATTAACTTACTTGAATCCTAAATAGTAATGGAGATTTTAGTATCTACTAAACCATTATTACTAGCTTTTTCATGTGGCCTTAGATGATGAAAGATAATCTGGATACAAGTTTGGAAAAAATGAAGATGGCAAGCTGTGAAGAAGAGCTGAAGCAATATTTGGAGAAAGCCCTTTCCTCTTTAGATCAAATTAGAACTAGGTACGAGTTTTGTATTGTAAACTTAAAAAGTAAAGCATATTTTAACGCTGGTTGTACTACTTAGGTCTTGTATATGCTATTGTGTGAAGGTATGGAAAAAGACTGCTTTTTACTTCATATAAGAATATAAAATAATGTACATATTGAACAAGGTTAAGGCAAATAATACCCACCATTTAGGAATGGGACAAAGGGAGACTGCTATCATTCAAAAACCACACTCATTTGAGCAGTTAAAAAAAAGTCAGAAGTAACAGACCAAGTGAAAATACAATTCCAGATTGCAGAAATGGAATGTAACCTATCTGAACATATACATAAATTCCCCATAATTATCTTTGTTTAGGAGACAAAGCAAATGCAAATGTAAATGAAAACAAGTGTGAACATTGATTTTTCTTGAATCAAGATGTAGCTTTATTTTCAAGTAAAAGGAAGATGAACCAGAAAGGCTCAGTCGCAGCTGAGCACAGTGCAGAACTAACATGGAAGACAATATTTTAACATCTTTTATGTAAGCAGTGTTTGTATGGTTCCCCATCCAAAAGGAAGGATGTAAAAGGCTTTACTATAAATATTTCTTAACTTTTGTGCATTTATTTATTTGTAATGAACTAATCTCTAACAAGCCAGAATGTGATTGTATTCAGTGTAAACAATCGCAACATTTAGCCTAAAGGTTTTATGAGACTGATCAGAAGGTCAGATTTAGATTTAGAGGCACTGTAATCATACTGAATTTTATTTCTATACATACTTGAGTCTCTTCAACAAAGATAATTAAATTGGACAGGAATGAGACACTCAAGCAAATTGTAATGGATGAAGTAATGGCTTACCCAAAAGCTATTTTGTGGGAATTGATTTCTTATAGTATATCCATCAGCCAGCATTTTAGTGTGAAGGAAATCTCCAAACAGGTAAAAAGAAAATATCTACTGGTTTAGAACCTTATTAGTGTATTCATTTTTCACTTTAGAGAAAATTTACCTTTAAAATCCAGATTATATAAAGTATTGTTTCAGCCATTGAATAAAGTGCTTTTGGTAGAGATAGCAGAGGGAAAACAAAACATTTCTCAGTCCCGCTTTTAACTCTGTCCTTGTTACAAACGGCATTTTAGCAAATCCATTTGCCTTTTGAACAAAGAACTACAAGGTAATAGACTTAAAATAATCTATTTGAGTGTTACAGGTTCTTTAGATAGTAAGTGATCTATTCAAGACTATCATATCTTACTGAAATAGAAACATTTTGAGAAGGAATATGGGTTTCTTAGAAGCAAATCCATATTTTAAAACAGTGTGGCAGGTATTTTTTGTTGTTGTTTTGGTTTTCGAACTTGCAAGGCACGATAGACTCCACAGTTCAAGATCAAAATAATACCTCAACAGTCCAAACAGGTATTTCTGCTTACTTGTTTTTCAATTTCTATTTCTTTGGACTGTAACCAGTAGAAGTCTGCTTTAATTGTAAGTAACTAGCTGAGGCTTCAGAAGCTGAACAAACAGTGGAGCAGCAAGCTGAGAGCATTGTGCAAGGAGGGCAAAATCAGAGTATCCTGAGTTGGAAGGGAATTACAGGGATCACGAAAGTCCAGCTCTTGGCTTTGCACAGACATCCCAACAATCCCAACGTGTGCATCCCTGAGAGCATTGTCCAAATGTTTCTGGAGCTCTGGCAGCCTTGGGGCTGTGCCCATTCCCTGGGCAGCCTGTTCAGTGCCTACCACCCACTGAGGGAAGAACCTTTTCCTAGTACCTAGTCTAATCCTCCCCTGGCACAGCTCCAGGCATTCCCTTGGGTCCTGTCCCTGGTCACACAGAGCAGAAATTAAAGTTGCCCCTCTATTGCCTTCGAGAGGAGCTGCAGCCCCCAGTGAGGTGTGACCTCAGTCTCCTCTCTCCAGCTGAGCCAAATGCCCTCAGCCACTTGTATGGTTTCCACTCCAGAGCCTTCACTATCTCTGTGTTCCTCCTTTGGACTTCTCTAGCAGCTTTAGGTCTTTCTAACATTGTGGCATCCAAAATTACCCCCAGGGCTCGAAGCAAGGACATCCCAGCCCAGAGCAGAGCAGGACAATGGCCTCTCTCAACTGGTGCCAGAAGATAGGGACAGTTGTCAAAAATCAGCTGGAGAAACAAACTTAACGGAGAAACAGGTGATCTTGGCACAGGAAATTGCAGAAACAGAGGAAGAAGAAGATGAGGAGAGTGTTCCTCATAAAAGTGAAGAAAATGAGCATGCAGAACAGGGACTAAGCATTATGCAGGTAAGTGAGCAAGAGAATACATTTGAAAGTGAAGGCAGTCTTGACCAAAATAAGGAGGAATAGGAAGTCTTTCTGCTGAGAATGAATAGAAAGTCCTTTTTTGCTTAGTTTGTATACAAAGCACCCAGGGCTCTAGATCCTTTTATGAGAAAATGGAGTTTATAAAACAATTCACAACCATTCTTTTTGATAATTTTTCATAATTTTTTTTCTAATCTGTCTTTCATCACAGTGTTCTCAGCCTGTAGTGAATGATTTAAGCTAAGTATTTGTACCTACATATTAGTTTTTCAGTTTCCATGAATTAATACCATAACGAAAACGTTTTCAAACATTGTTGACTCTGCCTATGTCTTGCTGGCATATATATAAATATATAAATATACAAATATATAAATATATATTTTTATTTATATATAAATATATTTATATATTTTTATATAAATATATAAATATATAAATATATAAATATATAAATATATAAATATTGCAAGCACTGTGTAAATGTCCAAATTAAGAA